ATCACAGTGAGGCCTTGTTTCTTCAAAGACTTTCACTTCCAGAGACTTTGTTTTTTATTAAAGCAATTGCAAAAGAAGAGAAGAGAGCATTGGGTCCCAGATGGGTATTAGACATCATGAATCTCTTCACAGGAAATCTTCATGGCCCAATCATGTATAATTAGGAGATCCTGGGTTTTACCTCCTACTTACTACTGTCCTTGTCAATCACGCCAGCTCTCGGCTTCCACTTTGTTCTTTAATTCTCACAAATTCAGCCTCATCCATCATTCTGTGCACAGAAGAAACTTTGCTTCTGGAAATTGTTTTGAATTGGCTCGTGCCTGTTTTAGCATGTAAGAGAAAAAAGAAAAAAACATTTTTTTCTTGGTGATAATAATAGATTATGTAATGCTAAATACTGAAAATGACCATTATTAATGTACTAATAAACTCTTAAATATAGATCTTAACCTTAATGCTGAAGAAGCTAACCAAATCCCTTTAGAATATAACAGAGGTAGAGTCTGTATAGATTTACTGATTCATCACTTTTTTCTGCAAAAGAGAATTTCAGAAGTACCCAGTAAATCACTCCAGCATTGTTTCTTGTAAGAGCTTACTAGTTGTTGTAATAGAAATAGCAAAACTACATTAATCAAAAGGTAAGAATGTGTATAACAAAATATAAGCTATTTTAATTAGTTTTAATTTTAAACACGTTTTATGATTCAAATAAAAAAATCTAAGGGGGATAATTTCACTCTGCTCTTGATATTTTACAGGAAAAATAGTTCAAATGAGCCTGGGCAGCTGGGCAAACTCAGCTGTCACCAAGGATCTAGTCAGAGAAATGCATTTAAGCATTAGTTTAGAAATTAGATCAGTCAGCAATGACAAAAATTTTAGATGCACACTCCGTTTCTATGTGTTATGAACAGTCCTATGTGAATTTACCCTAAAAACAAAATGAGAGATCATTCTATAACTAAGAGGTTAGTTTATGGATCAGAAGGTCTAGAAATCACCCCCATGATCACTTAGGTCAGCACATTTAGGAAAAGAACAAGACAGATTTACTCGTCATGGCTGTGGTAAGGATTTCTGAAGCATCTTGATGAGAAGCACTGTGAATACTGTATCATCTCCGGTGGAGAATCTGTGGGCCTCCAGTAGTTTTGGGGTGCAAACTCCCAGCTCATGGGCCTTCTCTCGGGGGATGGAATCCAGGAACATCTGCAGCCCTGGTCTTCAGAGAAATACCATGTTTTTACCTGATTCTTTACAGGAGGTTTATCCAGTGTCAGCTAAGTTTCGGCATGTGCTGAACTCTTTTGGACCATTTCAAATGGATCTTTACTGCTGATCCTTTTGTTTCTTTGGAATCAACTGAGCTGCATGTATAAAATGATATAGAGAACGACATGCAGCTCTCATCAAAAAGCCAGATGTGAAAGCTGGAAGTTTGAAAAGGAATCAACCAAAATCAGGAGTGCTCCCCTGATTCCAGCACTGCTAGCATAACAATGCAACCTATGTGGAAGGGAAGGGGTGCCTTATCAGGAAAGTTCTCAGATTTCGATGCCCATCTGACACTTGTGGGCCATGGTCTGGTCTTGCCATGACCATGGAATTTGGGTGCCAAACTTTAAAACCATGAAATTGCCCTTTCAGCACAGAGCTCTGCAGTTGGTTGGAGCACTCAGAGCTATACATCCAGGACCTCAAAGTATCTCCGTTGCTTGAAATGAAGTTCCCAGCAGCTGAAGAAAAATCATGAGACTTCATAGTATGGGAGTATGAACTGATTTCCAGAAAATCAGGAACCCTTTCAGCAGTTCCAAAAAGACTCCATACCCATTTGCACTAGCAGGTGACCCTGAGGACAAAGAGGTGGCCTCAACAACTCTCTAAAAGAATGCAAATGACCAGCTATCTGTAAGGAATATAAATCCTTCCATTCCCCACCATCCAGTCAGAGCAGAAGCAGCTTCTTGGATTAGAAGCGAAATGTCTTCAAAGAAAAAAACAAGAAAGTCCAGTTGCCTCTTGAAAAAGCACCTTTGGACATTAGACTTGATGTTTTCTTGTATTTAATTTACCTGCTACAGGTTCTTAATAAAGCCTCAAATCTTCTTATTAACTGGTGTGTTCATTGTCTTTGGATTCTCAAAAAGCCATTTATGTTGCACCTGGCTGTTGCCTGACACTTGGCCAAAAACACATACACACAGACCCATAAACATATCAGATTTATCCTATCAGATTGATTTACTTTGAATAATAAAGTAAATTTACAACCAAACAAAGGAGTCACCCAAATAAATTTGCTATTCAGAAGCAATTGTGCAAAGAGACAAAGATCACTAGCAATCCCGGCTCTCACCAGAAATCAATTGTATACATAAGGTATCTGGGGCAGGCCACCATAATGGGTGTGGCCTTGGCAGCAGCACTACCAAACTATCAAGCCACATTGTGGCACCTGCCAAGGATAGGAAGCTTTGCTTGCTTTTCTACACAGTGACCTCCCCAGCTGATTAAAGGGGCTGGAGAAGAGCACGAGCCCCTTGCCACTTTGTAAGGGAAGAAGCCAGGCACTGCTCCCCCCACGTGAAATGAAGCACATCATCTCCATGCCAGGAGCAGCCTTCCTCCCAAGACATTTTTCTAGAAACTGGCGTTCTGGGCAGGCTTGCTGATTCTGCAGCAAAGACAGCTAGTATTTGGGCACCACCAAAGAAAGCCTTCCGTTCTTTCCATTCTAGGTTAAGCTGAAAAAAAAGAACTTGCAAAAGACCACATAATACTGTGCTATATCACGTCCTGCCAAATGGTTTCATCTACTGCTGGTATTAAAAAGGAGCAGCCACGAACCCTGCTATTCTTCTGCTATGTGCTCACACATGCTATTCATGTGCTTACACAGTGCTTGAAGGCTGTGAATTTTGGGATAGGGAGAAACCAGGTCTACCTCAACCCTGATTCTCAATGGGGTAAGCGCTCCCAGAAACAGGTGGTGTGCAATTTGGGTTCCCTCTGGACTCACAACTGTTGCTCGAAGAGCGATTGTTAGCTGTGACTAGCTGCCTTTGCACAGAGCCATCTCCTCCCATTCCTTGACTGAGAGGGTTTGTTCACAGTCCTTCACTACTTGGTCCCTTCACAGCTGGACTCATGTAATGGGATTCATGTAATGGGCTGTACAGCTAGTCTTCCTTTGGCCATCATGCTGCATGGACTTTCAGTTTTTTCTCAGATTTAATACAAAGTTATCACTTTTCAAGCTACGAATGTCACAGAGCAAAGATACTTACAAGAAGGCCTCTCTCTGAGGGTACATGCCTATCCAATCAAGCCAGATAGAGTGGGTGCCTTCAGGTCTCCTTGCTTAGATATTGTCACCCAGTGAGACCTAGTTAGCGCACCTTTCTCATAGCTGCCCCTGCCCAGTGAAAGAGGATTTTTCTATGAGTTCCAGCATCCTCTCTCCATCCCCTTATTGGGTGATAAGGACTTTGCAAACAGTCGTTTCTTCCTCCAATGCATGAGATAGTTTGAGACTAGAGTTCAGAAGGTGTGGAGGGAGAATGGTTTTGCTGGTATGATAATACGCAGTACAGTTTGTGGTTACTATCATTTTGCTGGCTTCTATATTTTATTGTTATGCCCTGACCCGCCCAGGGATGTTGTATATAAGATGGATGTCCAAATTAGTCTCTTAAATAAAAAGAAGGGGTCACTACTGTGTGATCTGCTGTCCAACAACAAAATCAAACTGATCCCAATAAATGAGGAATTTGCATTCAGTCGGTGTCGACTGGGAAGGAGAATAAATCTCTTTGATTGTAACAGTTTTTCGGATTCTTATTCTTCACCAGAGGAGCCTGCAAATTTTATATTTGAGTTTAGGGGCACATATACATACCTTTCCATAGAAGTGCTTAAAAAACCTTCATTATTCACGCTCAGAGCCTCTGAATTATTCCAAAGGTATCTGGCTGTAAGATGCTGATGTGTCTGAAGGCAAAGATGTCTGGCTCTCAATTGAGGCAGGCAGAGCTAGAACCAAAGGTTTCAGCTGTTGCAAGAAAGGGCGAACTACCAGGCAATGCCGTGTCAAGGGTTCTTGCACACTGAAACTGTAAAACCTGTCCAATTTGATAATAACGGTCTCTTGTTGAGACAGGTGCTTTGCCAATGGATATGCAAAAATCTAACTGATCTCCAAAGGAGAAAACTGCCGACTTGTTTAGGAGTCCCAAAAGGCATTTTATGAAAAACAAAACAAAAAAACCTCAGGAATGATGCCCTTCTCTATCTAATGAAGGCAATAGTTGAACACAGCCACAGCACCAAGGACAACCCCAACGGATAACCGAAAATTCTAGGCGTCTGGGTGTCCGAAGGCCACGCAAACAGAGCCTAGGAAAGAGTAGGGCTTTGGGAATGGAGGAGTTTGCTGATGAGAGTTCGTCCTTCCCAGCAAGTCGATATCGTGCAACGAAGGCGAACTCTCCCAAGAGCACCGATTCAACCGTTCTGACAGTTTGTCACACGAGCACGCGACCTCCCGCTTTCCTCGCGTAGATAGGGAGCGAGGAGGTTCTTCAGCGGCGCATGCGTCATTGTTAACCCCGCCTCCGGAGTACTTGTGTTTGTGTGACGGTAAAATTAGACAAGCGGGAGGCATTTCCCCGCCCCTTTTGCATTCGGATGGGAGGAGGAGAGCCAGAGGCAGTCCGGGAACCAATCAGATGCGGTGTACTGGCTTCCTGAGGCGGGACTACAGTGACAGTTTTAATTTTCTCCATAGAAGCCCTAATGTTCCTCTCTGATCGCAGTTGGTCGGTGTTGTGAGAGAGGGGCGGTAAGCGAGGAGGAAAGACTCTTCTTTGCCCCTGTAGCTGGCCCAGGCAGGACTTGCCAATGTCCACCCTCCGGCCGGCTCCTCCTCGACCACCACCTCGGCCTGCTTGGGCACCACGATGGCAACGGGCTCCTCAGCGGTCCCCTCGTGACCCGTGTTGGTGGCGGCTGCCGTGTCCGGATCCTCCTGCAGCGGGGGCCTTTCTCGCCTGGCGGGGACCCGAGTCGGGAGCGGCAGTGGCGCAGCCGGCAGCGGCATCAGGAAGAGGCCGCTTCTGACTCCGCTTTGCAACGGCCTTCTGAATTCCTACGAGGACAAAAGCAACGATTTCGTCTGGTGAGTGGCGCTGGGCGGATGGGGAAGGTGCTGCTACCCCCGTGTGTTTGGGGACAGGGCTGTGTGTGGGGGGGAAGTCGTGGGGTTAGGGTTAGGCTGGCGAAATCATTGGTGTAGATCTAGGCATCTCTCAACGTTGCTCTTCCAAGTGCAACACTCCCCCTGGTTGATAATGCCGCCCTATGGTTGTGCCTTATAGCTCAGGGCTGTTGCTGGCATGCTAGGAGGAGCGTTAGCTCATCTAGGTGCCTGGGAACTGCGACTGCAGTGGAAGAGAGGAGGGAATGGGCACTCGGCGAACTCATGGCTGATGTAAGATTTAAACTGTGCATTTGGTAGCTTGTGATTTTCTCTCACACACGTGCACACCTATGATTTAAGAATAAGTTCTGTGGAGCTAAGGGGGCCTTACTACTGCAGTCATTCTGCAGGTTCCGGGTCAGAAGAGTAGATGGTGAGGTTTCAGCTGCCCTGCATTTTGCCTGAAATCAGATTATTACAGATCAACCAGGTTTGAAATATCTGTGTTGGCAGCAGGATTCTGTTTTGATTACTGAGTGACAGGAAGAAAAAATGTGTTTTGCGGCATTTCAATTTTCCCTTCTCTTTTCTGAAATCGGCATAGAATCATGTTGTGGGGTTCATAGGGCTTCACCAATTAATTCAGTGTGTTTACCTTGGAGAACTATTCCAACAAAACCAGTCAATAGGACTTATTTAACTAATCCAGACAAAAGAGACTTTAATCCACATTTCTTACAGAAGATGCTTGTGCAAGGAATGTGCCTCAAACTTCTGTCTTTTCTTCTAAAACAGTATCTGTAAGTTGGGCAATATAAATTTGGTACATTATTTTAAAGAAATCTTTTAGTTCAGAGAATAGACATTTTAATTTAGGTGCCCAAGTGCCTGATCAGCAAACATGCTTACTACCTTCTGGGGACTATTGGAGGAGGGATAGACAAGGCTGAGCACTATTTCTACGCTAGATATGATAAAAGCACTTTGACCAGCTGCCTACCTGGTTTTTGTGCTATTCTTCATAAATGTATGTAAATTCTTCTAAAACATTTAGATTGCTGGCTATTCTTTTGTATTGTGATATCCAATTTCACAGTTAGCCATGACCTAAATGAAGAATATATGGTTTCATTGTATGGTCTGGATTTTAGTATTATAGGAGCTAAATAAAAAAATTAACCCTATGCAATTCTTTTCAATATGCATGATTCTGTGTATCTGTATTATGTACTGAGCCTTTTTATTTTATTTTGCCCATTTATTTTCTCCCTTGGATAGTTGTTCCACCTAGGTCTAAACAACTCAGTTGGCCCTTTCTGGATCTGTTTCGACATTGTATTTGGGAAGTTGTGTAACCAAACCTGTCAATAATATTAATGTTGAATCATGGAATTATAATATGATGTTACAACATTTATTATTGGTTTATTCTGCAGTGATCTACAAGTGAAAACATTTACATAGTAGCTGTACTGTCATCTGTATCAAATCATCTATCACAAACATATCTTTTTTTTCTGATTAGCCATCACCAGATCAGACACTATCAATTGCAGAAGGTTTAGGATGTTTTGCTCTAGTGTGAAAGTCTTTATCCTAATTTGCATTTCATCTTAGATCCTGTTCCTCTAATTTGGATATAATATTAATCAGTTGACCGGCTTGCCTCCAGAAGTTGTGACACTCCATCACTGGAGGCTTTAAAGAAGAGATTGGACAGCCATTTGTCTGGAATGGTATAGTGTCTCCTGCTTGAGTAAGGGACTAGACTAGACCCTTACAACTCTGTTATTCTGTATTCTGGAACCCTTTGCTTATTGTTCTAAACAATTTTTGTCATCCAAATTATTGGCTGCCTTATTTCTTGCCTCTAATACCTTAAGAGGCACTATTTTGAATGTGAGCTTTTGAAGACCCTGTTGCTCACATATGGTTTACTGTTCTTCAGATTATCAGAAAGAATCTGGCAGCACCTTTTCCAACTAACACATTTTTAAAGACATAAGCTTTGGAAACTGTAGTTTTAGGCTAATCTGGCTGTCATCGTCCAGTGATATTCAGACAGTATCTAAACATAAGAGAATCTCTGCACTTCTGAGATGGTTAATTTTGCTCAGGGGTCTTTGATATGTGAATCCTTCAGAGTCTAGTACAGAGGTCAGCAACCTGTGGCTCTGGAGCCACATGCGGCTCTTGTTCCCCGAAGCTGCCGGGCAGATTCCCCCCCCCCACACCCTCCCGAAGAGGGTTGTTCCTCAGGCTGTGCCCTGACCCAGATCCCTGCCACCTGAAACTGCCCGAAAATGTGCGAAGGGTGGGGGCCGGTGGGTGGGAGGGCTACATTTGGCGTATAAGACGCACCCAGATTTTCACCCCCTTTGTGGGAGTAAAAAGGTGCATCTTATACTCCGAAAAATATGGTAAATTTCATTTTAAACTAGATAGTAATTTGATGATTTGAAGCTGCTTCATTGATTTGATCTATCTTTAGTACGCAATCACCTAGTTCCACAGCTCCAATTCCTCAGCTAAGAAACAGAATGTGATATCATATTCAAAAACACATCTTAATAAATTTGTGCAATATTTTTCCCTGTTCTGTTACTTTTCTTGAACAGTTACAAGTGTATTCATGGAAGCCTGGAAGATAACAACAGATGCCCCAAATATAATTATTTTGTGGATAACATTGATCATCTATATCCCAACTTTTTAGGTAAGTTTTAATGTTCAGTAATACAGCCTTCAATCATACTTTCAATCAATCAATAACACTCTCAATAATTAAACTTTTATTCCTGGGTGTTTATTTCTTTATTATGCTTCCGTTGATTTTGTATAACCTAGACTACATTCCTGGACATGTAATATCTGAATATCTATCAGGTATTCAGTGATATAAAAATCACCCTAGTTTTTCAAAAAAATAAAGTTTAGAGAGTCTGTGGACCATGATTGTGAAAACAAGTTGAAAACGATTAGTAACCACATAATTTAATAATGCTTAGTCATATTTGATTTTGAGATGTGAAGAGGGGAGGATGAAGATCAAAATAAGCTTTATGCTAAATGGAATTGAATACTCACCATAAAATCATCTTAAGTCATAGTGCCTATGACTGAATTCTCCTGCCAAGATGGGTTTACAAACTTTTTTCTGGACTTTTCTTGGAAATAGTGGCATTTGTATGGCCTTTTGATAATCGTCTTTTCTGATCTTGAACTTTTTGGTAGTGACCTTGCCAGCCCTCAGATTGCTGATCAATAATTTATTTTAAACAATTATTTATGTTTCATGTAATGATAAGTTAGAAATAGGAAAAAATAAAACTGAATTAGAGTTTATTCTTCCTTTTGGTTTTGTGTGAATAAGAGAGAGACATACATGAAACTAATATGGAAGAAAGAAAAAATGCAAATACGTATTTTGGTTGTATACAATGTGAATAAGTTGTTTTGTACATTTGACAATCTGTAGAGTTATTAAAAGAGCAGTTTTAAGGACCTTCTGTGTAAGATGGGAGGAAATTGTGCTTATTATAATATAGGTAATGTGGTTTGGGACATACTCCATGAAATGTGATTCATTTTTAACTGCATAGTTTCATAAAATTAATTAGTAACATAATAAGTCACACTGAACAACTGAAGTTGTTAAAATATAAACGAGTTAACATCTGTTGTAAGTAGACTATTGTATATAATAAAATTGTAGATTTTAATTCGTGTTTCCCCGAAAATAAGGCCCTGTCTTACATTTTTTGAACCCTGAAATAAATGCTTGGCCTTATTTTCGGGAGGTCTTATTATTTTGGTGCGCATGGAGCAAGACGGGGCTTCTCTTGCCATCTTACCTGATTTCCAGCTCTGTCTCCCTGACCCTAACCAGAGGAAATGGCAGGGCCGGCTGCACATGTGGTTAAATATTTTCAGGGAGGGCTTATTTTCCCGGGGGGGGGGAGGGGGCTTATTTTAGCACATGCGCTCAAAAGCCCAATTGGGCTTATTATCCGGGGAGGTCTTATTCTCAGGAAAACAGGGTATTTTATCATTGCAGGAAGAAAGATCCAGACATCCTCTTCTGTCATCTACTACAGAACAACAGAGATGCGCTGAGGTATATAATGTGTACTTGTAGCTCACCTTAGAATATGTTTATGAGAAACTGAAAATAAATGTTTTTTTCACAATTCTTAATTGTTATGTACAACATATTTTATATAGTGTATATGTTTGCTTTCTATTTCCATTACATATATGAGATCCACACACACACACCCCTATTCAATACAAACTAGTTTATCTGTAATTTCTATTAAAGAATGGCAATTATCAGAGTTCGTGCTAATTCTTCGTTCGTTCCTTCTTTGCCACATTAGCTACTTTCTTTGGCCCTATACAATAGTAACATAAAATTTAGATGATTCATATTTGGTTTGAACCACTGTCTTTTACATTTCCTAAACAAATTAACTAAAACTAGATCTTTCTTTTATCCCAGCAGGAATACTCTTTATTGCCTGTATTGAACATCTACAGCAATAAATTGGGAGTTGCACATGTGTGTGCTCATCTTGGAATGCATGATTTTAATATGCACAAATATGCTTGTCTACACCCCTGACTCTTTTCCTAAAGAGGAACTTTAAAGTAATATCCTCTTTACACTGACATCACAGAGAATTAATGGAAAACAAATTCATGTAATTTTTCTCATGATCATGAAATGTATCTCCTTGAAGAAATTTTCGTAATGAAGAAAATTATCAAGCAAACATCTGCAATTCATTTTATGTTTTTCATTCTTCACAAAACTGCCAGGTTTCCATGCGTTCAGAAAATATTAGGATGCAGCTGGACCAGGATTTAAATTTAAGGATGCGTTCCCATCAGGTAAGCCATCTAGCATGTGAGGAATCTTTTGAGTGTGCATTAAATCCCGTCGTAATAAGAGGGGAAGAAGCCCAGTGTGAGTGATGGGGTAGTGGGGGTGGGGGTAGGGAGTGGGCTGACATGGAAATATATTCCTGACTTGTGATTTTTGTTTCTCTATATTGTTACCAAAAAACCCGAAAGACTGGAAGTAGATCTGAAGAGAGCGAGGAACCAGAGTTATGGCATACGTCATACCTTTATGTGGTGCACAAACATTTTAGGTATCCTCTACAGAATGACTTCTGAAAAGAGTTTAGTAACAATTTGCTGTTTATTATGTTGAGGGATTATCTGCCCTCAAGTCTTTTAATACTCACCTAGTTTATTTAGTGGTTACGTATCATGAGATAATCATAGCTTCATAAAACAGAAGCACTCCTTCAAATCTTTGCATAATCCTATTAAGTTCACACATTAAACACGACATTCATAATTTCTACATTGGCAATGGGACTGGCCATTTTATCAAACAAATGATGAAAAGTATATTCTAGTAAAGCTTGGAAAATAAGATGGGAATAGCAACAGTTGAATTTGTTTCTTAAACAACCTCTCATAATGAATGACAATTGTATTAATACCCTTGTTATCTCATGCTCCCTCATAAACAAGGTACTGCCTTAATCACTGAGAGAGCAACTTGTTGAAATATGTGGACAGTTAGGTATTTTTGAGCACTGAGAAACTTTCCCCATATCCTACATCCATAACTTTACTTTGCTTCTGAAAATCATTTTGAATTTGTTTCTGCCTTTTGTGGAACATTTTTAGAAAAAAAGAAAAATAAATGGTTAAAGCATTATTTCCTGTGCATTTACGTACATGTAAAAACGCAGCACACGAACGCACATGCACACTGTCACAAGTAAATGCCTTATTCTCTTATAGGTGAATTGTATATACACGGGGTATTAGGGGTTAATTTATTCTTCCTCTCTTAATATATTCATATGTAACCACTCCCCTCCTTTGCTCCGCCTTGTAAATATATAAGGGGCTGTATGCACCTCCTCTTTGCTTCTATCTACAATACTTCAGAGAATATAGAATGCCTACTGTAAATAAAAAGTGTTATATTTGAATACTTCACTCTTGAATCATTTATTGAGTCAGATCCTCAAAATTTCGCAACAATCTGGTAGCAGAGGATGGTTAAATTGACTCAATAAAAATCAGATATGCCTAAAAGAGAAAACTTCAGAAACAAAAAAGAAAGACCCAACACCAGGGCACACAGTAAAGAGATGGAAACAGATCAAGAAATGATCGATGAATCCACAACTATAATATCAAAAGAATCTGAAGACTGCACTACAGACAACGAGGAAATTATTGATGAAGCTGATGACCAAGAAGAAGACGAGATAGAAAACAACGAACTCAGGTCAGAGATACTGAGACTTTTGAAAAGTCAAAAGGATGACGAAAATCTCATCACGAACCTCCAAAACATCATAAAAAACAGCGGAGCAGCGAGAGAGAAACACATCGTAACAGATGAATCTAAAGAATCAAAAATGGTGAGCGAATTGCCTGTAGATAAGAATATAACAAAAAAGAAGACTAACGGTCCCACACAAAATTTTGAATGGCAGCCATCTTGGTTTCAACAGACCACTAAGATGAGCGAAGCAGAACCAATCAGAAGACAGAATTTAAAATGTCTGGCGCGAAAAGCCCTGCATAGTGCAAAAGGCGAAAAAGAAAAAATCTACTCTTCAGAAGAATCTGACACAGACATCGAAGAAACTTCAATCGAAATGCAAATAAAATCAGCAATGAAAACTCTCTTTACAACATTCGGCCCAAAATTAAGAATTACTAAAGAATCAACAAAAGCTAGCAATCAAGAAATAAAGAAAAGACAAGCAAGCAAGCAAACATCCCAGAATCAACCCGCTTCTATCCGAATGACGAGAGCACCGGCACCTGAACCCAGAGAATTCTGCAAATACTCCCCCACGCCACAGACGATTCCAGGAACCAGAAATCTCAACAAGAACTATTTCAGCGAAAAGAAACAAACGTCTGCCGTCACCTGGACACCCAAAGTCGAACCAGAGACCGAATCATCAGAAGAAGAGAACTACGAGGGAGCTGCAGCAGCGAGAACCTCTCCCGACAGCTTCAGAAGCAAAATGAGCAACGCGCATGCGCAAACACACGCAGACAACTACGGACGACATGAAGAACAGAAAGAGCCATTCAGACTCATTGCAAGCATACCCACACCATTCTGCAACTACCAACATTTGCAAGATCACGGACTGCCTCCAGTTGTAAGTAATGGACTAATAGTGTTGGGAACTTGCTCAATGATTTCCCAAAACTGAGAATAGATGGTATTAATTTGCAGGAATGGTGTCAACAACTTCAGGTTGTTTTTCTAAAAGAGAACTTATTATTCTTTATAACTAACCCCCCCAAAAGACCTTGGACTCTAAAATTGGACTGCCTGCACCACAGAGCATTCTTCCTATTAATATCTAGTATATCTCCTGCTATGTACCACAGTATTAAGCATAATTTGACTGTCTCAGAAATTATTCAATGCATGTTTAAATTATTCCATAGCGAAAGTGTAGCAACTACTACAAGAATGTCTAAAGATTTCTTCTCAGCTAGGATAAAGCCAAGGATTACCATAAGTGAACATTTGATATCTCTAAACAAAATCAGAGCAGAGCTGCATTTAAGGGGAGAGATAATTTCAGATCAAACAATGAAAAGTGTTATCATTAACTCATTAGACCCTTCGTGGGATAACTATATATCACACTTAGACACAATTAATTTAGGATACTTATCCATAGAGAACTTATCAAATAAGCTAATAGATGAAGATAATTCAAGAAGAAGTCATTGTAATAATTACACAGAACACAGACAGAGTAAGAGAGTAATATTTCAAGAAAAATTTAGAGAATCAATAGAATGCCACAACTGTGGATCCAAGGAACATTGTAGAAGAGATTGTCCCAAATTCCTTAGAGAAAGACAAAAACATGAATATAGAAGTAGATACCATAACAGACAATCATCCATTGATAGACATAGATAAAGAAGCCCACCTAAATACAGAGAGCATAGAGGGGGCAGAGATAATTCAAGAGATAGAAAGTCTGGATCACTAAATGGACTAAATAAACACAATACAACTAACATACAACATTCAGAAGACAATGATTGGCTCATTGATTCTGGAGCAACTAATCATACAACACATAACAAAAATATACTATCTTCATTTATAGAAGATAACTTTGTAATTAAGGTAGCCAATCAAGAAAAAGTACAAGTTGTTGGTAGAGGAAATATAAACTTACCCGGTCTAGGAAAAATAGAGGGGGTATTGTTAATACCAGAAATACCTCATAACATACTTAGTGCAATAAAACTAAGTAGGGATTCTGACATAAATATAGTTTTCTCAAAAGGAAAAGCAACACTAGAGAAAAATAAAACAAGCTTGGGTAATGTGATTACCAAAGGAGGCTTACCATATTTGGTTATAAAAGAGAAATGGTTACACAATATTGATGCTAACATAGAAAATGAGGATAATAGCAACAGTGATAATGAGGAACATGAAACAATTCATAGTCACAAAGACACATCTATTAATGACACATCCAATGACAA